ATCATGATGAATATTCCATTCGTTGCCTTATTGTCTATTTCCCCAGAGTGCATTTTTAACCTATATATTCCTACCTTGAAACGGAAGGCGTGTGGCTGCATACTTTACTATTTCAGCCAGCATAACGATAATCATGTGACAACTGCAAATGCCAACGGCCGTAAGAGCGTAACGAAGTGAGGTTTTTAGGCATTTGAATTTTTCCGGACGTCGACAGACTTCTCAGTAAATTGCCACGTCGATTTTTCTGCTCTCTGGCAAGTTTTACACACCTTTTTATTAGGAGGCAGTCACAGTGTGGCACATTCAGGGCCGCTATTTCTGCGGTCAACGTTGACACGGGTGAAGCAAGCTAGAGTAAGAAGCAATACAACAGGTAACCAAAAAGGCTGGCGGCTGAGGTTTGGAACAAGAGAGGCTGCCACATATCTCCGCGGTCAATGAGTGCAGGTACAAAATATACAGCAGATTCACTATCTCATGCAATGGCTGCCGGAATTCTGAAAGGAGTTTTCGATTGGAACATACTAATTGCGGATGGTTGTAATAGAGATGATCATAAAGCCTAATCTCAACATATTTTAGACACTTTAGGATGCCGGCTTTCTTACAAGCTTCTTGCTGACCGCCAAGACAAAGCAGGTACTATAAAAAGTGACTACTTAAGTAGTATGCCTTTTGTCATTTATTTTGACTGCCTTTATAGATTCAAGTATATTTTTTTGGAAAACATGCACGGAAAAATTATTTCTTGTACTCTTTTGGTAGCAAATTACGCCTTCTTGAAATTTTTATACTTAAAGCAAGGGTATCTTTCGGTTTTTAAAATTCAGGGGTGTTCATTCAAGGAACACCGTATCCGTCATTTGTTAATGCTGCCTTTACTGTATAAAGCATGCTGCACATCTATTGCAACATTTTATTGGAACTATGTGAGATCTTCGTCAAGCTGTAGGCGAAAACGGACTTTTCCTTAAAAAGGATGTACACAGCGCGCAGTTTTTAAACCGTGAATTCCAATGTAGCGGTACAGGTTTCAAAATTATTCGGCAATTTAGAAACTTTTTTTAAAACCAAAAGATACCCTTGCTTTAGTATAAAATTTAAAGAAGGCGTAATTTTCTACCAAAAGAGTACAAGAAATAATTTTTTCCTGCATGTTTTCCAAATTTAAAGAAGGCGTAATTTGCTACCAAAAGAGTACAAGAAATAATTTTTCCGTGCAATATTTTCCAAAAAATATAC